GTCGGGAGCCACAACTCCTAACAGAAGGCAAAGTAAGGGTTACCTGAAAATGGGAAAAACGCTGGCTGGGAGCAAGACCCCAGCTAAAGCAGCCGTGTGGGAGGCAAAGCCCCATGGATCCCATTGATGGGCCCCCTTTGATCTTTGGGAGTGTGTGCATAAGACAGAAAGTACCCCTTTCTGATGAAGCATTAACTGATAAGTGAGGATGATGTATTGGTGAAACTGAAGTTTGAGACATGAATAAGGAACACAGCAAAAGCACAGCCATTAGAGACGCTAGAGAATGTTTAGTTACCTTCGTCTCCATAAAAAGCAAAACCATTGTGTATAAAGAAAATAAAAGAACTTTCCCATTCTTTATTTTTAATGGTTCACAGACCCTATACTAAAATAACACCTTAGACGGGTAAGATGGAGGAGGAAGTTTGTGAGACCTGAGACAAGTCAATCCTGAGGGCAGCTGCTTTTAAACATGATTTAAAAAAGTATAGACATAGTAGATATAAGTTTGTAAGAGTAAAATGGCCTAGTAGTATAAGTATAATAATATAGGAAAGAATAGTTAAGTAGATAAAAATAGAATGATTAAAAATAATTAGATAAAAAATAATTAAATAGAAAACAAATATAGGATATGAGTAGTCAAGTATAATTCATATAAAGGTTGTTAAGCATTATTAGATTATGATTCAGATAAGTAAAATAAGAATAAAGATAGATACATAATAGGAGAGTTTATAGGAAATAATTAAGAAACAATAAAATTAGTTATAGATGTAAACGCCAATATATTGCTGCTAAGTTACATGTAAGAATTGTTAGAAATACGATATAAAAGGGGTAAGGGTTGAAAGGTTACAGTTAATTATTTTTAGCAGAAATTGTCTCGTTCCTGTCTGTTGGTTTTAACATAATGGAAACAAAAAAAGAATAGGGAGGAACAAATAAATCATTGTAGAACGTTTGATTGTAAAACATAATGTAAGCTTTTGTGGGCATATGTGTGAGGGGGTTGAGGGTTGAAAATGCCTTATATAAACATGTGAAAATTGAATAAACTTTGAAAGAGTCCCGAACTCGACCCAGGGAGTTGACTTGTGTCTTCTTCCTTCACGGTGTCTGATTCTCTCGCCTTAGGCCCTGACCTTAGTGTTGGAGCTGGACTCTGACACCCCCCACTTTCCCACTACTGCCAATCCATAAAGGAACTCTTGAAAACTCTTCGAAAGGCCAACAGGTAAACCAAGATGGATGCCTACAAGTATATCCAGGAACTGTGAAGAAAGAAGTAGTCCGATGTCACCCGCTTTCTGCTGAGGGTCTGCTGCTGGCAGTACTGCCAGCTTTCCATGCTGCACAGGGCTTCTTGCACACGGCCAAGCAAGGTTATGTCATATATCCAATTCGTGTGTGCTGTGGTGGCCACAAACGCCCAAATTCTAAGGGTGTGATCTATAGCTAGCCTGCGCATCATGGTGTTGTGAGAAATGAACTCACCTGTCCAGAATCAAAGGAGGGACACGGAGACGTGGAGTGCAGCAGAAGCGAGATCTCAATAGCGGTCTTGCAGGATCATGTGTCTGGTGGACACACACATCCGGGGTGTTACAGTTAGCATGTTTGTAGCCTAGAACGCTAGTCCCTCCCCTGATCTCCCACAGGCTGGATTCCACAGGGGTCACAACCATTTCCCGGATGTCGCTCACATGGCACACATCAATCGGGTCACGTAATTAGTTGACTTATACATCCTATTTGCCGATTGGTTTACAGGATTTCATTTTGATTGGTTTCCTCCTAAATTTGAACATAAAAGCTCGCCAAAGTGAAAGCCCACGAAAAAGAGGACAAAGTAGGAAGTGACTCAGCAAAGGCATTTAAACATGGCTCAGCATTCATTTTGAAAATAAATCGTTTTACTTCTTACAGTGTTAACAGCTAAAGTTTGCTCAAAGTCTTCAGTCCATTGTGGAAGTGGGCTGATGCCACTGTGGGGGCTCTAAGAGTCCTGAATTCTTAGTGGGTTGATGAAGATTCCTTGTACAGATTTTTTGAGACTGTCCTCATCAATCTATTTCCTAAAGCTATCGGAAGAAATTCAGACACTCAGTGGACCCTAGTCCAGAAGGCAGGGAGATGCATATGCTGACATCTCTGTGCCTCAAAAGCCATGGCCTTGGAATGGGCCACAAGTTCCACCACGCTATTGGTGGTTCTCCCAGGGCAGCTCCGAGAAGGTTCAGCACTCTCTAGTGCCACTGTCACTGCTAATATAAGTAATGTTTGTAAAAATTCTTACCTAATAAGCAAGTTAGGACAGAAAAAAAAAAAAAAACCTCTTGAGTGATAACAAGAAACTATAATGTTTTGGGTTCTGGACAGAGATAGTGAAGAGGGCTACAAGTAGAGAATGAATAGTAAGGGGGCAAGGTTTTTCCCTGTGTTTGTTGTTTTGAATCCTGTGAGCATAATACCTATTCAAAAACTTTAAACAAAAACAAAAACAAGCTGGACTCGGTGGCTCAGCCTGTAATCCCACGCCTTGGGAGGCTGAGGTGAGTGGATTGCCTGACCCCACGTGTTCGAGACCCGCCTGGGCAGCGAGACCTCATCTCTACAATAAATCAAAAAATCAGTTGGGTGTGGTAGCGCATGCCTGTAACTTCGGCTACTTGGAAAGCTGAGGCGGAAGGATCGCTGGAGCCCAGCAGGTGGAGGCTGCAGTAGCTGGGAGCGGCCACTGCACTCCAGTCTGGGCGACAGAGTGAGACCCCAACTCAAAAACAACAACAACAACACACGGAACCCTCAGGCGATACCTCTGTTCCTCTGTGTCTCCTTCATATGAGAGGAAGCACGATATGGTGGAACAAAGGCTTGACAAAACTAAGTTTCATCACATGCTTCTATTCATCAGGTTTTTGACCTTGGGAAAGTAACATTTCCTTTGAGTCTCAAGTCCTTCTCTATAAGTTGGGATTGACAATCAACAATCCTTTTGGGTGAATATTATGTGCGATAATATTTGTAATGTGATTAACACAATGCTTTGTATAAATTTAGCAGTTGGTATTTTATACATACATATATATGCACACATACTCATCTATATTATTAACATTCACACACATATGATTAACACATTGTGTTAAAATGATCAAATGATTCTGTTTGTGTCTATTCCTCTCTGTCTCAACTCTTCCTACCTGTGTCTTCAGACAGTAGATTCCTATGATTTATCCATATTTTTATCCTTAGTACTAGCTCATTGAAGGTGCTCAAGCAGTATTTGTTAGGCCATTGCTTTGCTAAGCCATGGTCGCCATGTTTCCTAGCCTTGGCCCTCTCCTCTACCTTGGGGAGGTGAATCTCTTCTCTCTGTAATTTATTCTTTCTTTTTCTGAGTCAGAATCTCACTCTATCTCCCAGGCTGGAGTGCAATAGCACATTTACGGCCACCACAACCTGCTGGGTTCAGGTGACCCTTCCAACTCAGCCTTCTAAGTAGCTGGAACCACAGGTGCATGCCACCATGCCTGGCTAATTTTTTGATTTATTGTGGAGACAAGGTCTCGCCAAGTTGAGTTGCCCAGGCTGGTCTCGAACCCCTGAGCTCAGGCAATCCTCTCACCTCTGCCTCCCAAAGTGCTGGGATTATAGGCGTGAGTCACGTGTGGCTACTTTCTAAATAAACTATATTTTCCCATATAACTTCTGTGAAATTCTTTGCTTCTTTCACATGGCACTGGATCACACATTAGACACCCACACCCCTGATGGGTCTGACCTAACATTTTGGAGGCCCCACTCGGATATATCTTTACCCTAATATTTTTGGAGGTCCCACTGAGATATGCCATACTCTGGCTAGTGCTCTCTCTCTCTCTCTATCTCTTTCTCTCTTTTTCTTCTCTTTCTCAACTCCAGAACTCAAGTCATCTCTCTAGAGAGAGACCAGGGGCTTGGATCCTTTTCTCTGCTACTCACTCTTACCCTCATTGCCTGCAACAAGCTCCATAGAATGGTCCTCACTGTCACCTCAGCCTTGTCTGGTATGAAACTTCATTATTGTCTCTCTAGGATGGGGTAAGAAACAAAAGCTTCAGGAACCACATCTACTCCACACCCTTCTCCTGAATTGAAAAATATATATGTATACTTGTTAAATAATTGATAAACTATTTCTCCTCCTCCTCCTCCTCCTCCTCCTCCTCCCTCTCCTTCTTCTTCCTCTTCTTCTTCGAGTTGGAGTCTCACTCTGTCACCCAGGCTGAAGTGCAGCACTCTCATGGCCACTGAAGCCTTGACCTGCTGGGCTCAGGTGATCCTTCTGCCCCAGCCTTCCAAGTAGCTGGAACTATAGGCATGCGCCACCACACCCCACTAATTTCTTGATTTATTGTAGAGACAAGGTCTCATCATGTTGCCCAGGCTGGTCTTGAACCCCTGGGCTCAGGCAATCCTCTCACCTCTGCCTCCCAAATTGCTGGGATTATAGGTGTGAGCCACTGCACCTGGTGAACTAAGCATGGTTAGTTCTTAAACCCACTGAACAGAGAAAACAACAAGAACATTCTGAAAATTCTCAGTCAAGTCGTGCCAACTCCTAAGCTTGATAAATTGCAAGCTCCTTCTCCCCTTCCCTCCTTCTCCCCATGAAGACCAGAAAAGTATTTTTGAACCAATCTGAGCCAAAGATGGAGACTTTCCCTCTCATGTACTAGGTTCTCACTGGACATAGCTGAGAACTATATGAAGGACAAATTCTGTGCATCAGTTGGCCTTCTTAGTGCTCTCCTCAGCAAGTAGTTCCTCCAAGTATTTGAACTTAGGAAGCTTCAGATCCAAACTACACAAAAATGTGCTGTTCATATTTGGCTTATATTTTGTGAGAGCCCAGAATTTGATGAACAGCATGAACAGTCATTGCAAAGGAGTTTTTTAAAAATTTGCTTTAAAGGAAAAATCCCACTTTAGCTAGACAGTATAGAGGTCAAGATAAATTTCCTCTTTACCCTATAAACGTTCACTGAAAAATCAACTCACAAAAGGCAGATTAATTGGACAAAAGGCACACAAACTTATTTAACATGTAAACAAGGGAGAATCCCAGAGTGATCCCCCGCCAACCCCCAGTGAGGTTCAGAGGTATATAAATCATCCTGGAATAGCACAAATAGTCAATACTAACAGATTTCTTTGGATTTGCTTATGGAAAAGCTATGGGAGGAGGGAGAAGAGGAATTCCATTGAGGGGCAATAAAGTATTGCTCAGGAGAATGAATGGATCCAGGAAGAGAGATTAACTTGTCAAGGGTCTACTCAGGTATGGTTTTCAGGTGTGGCTACATTCTTGGTCACAATGTTCTCCTTGGTCAGTATGGAGGATCTTAGGCAGAGAAAATTCAACTTCTTTAGGAGAGAAGGTAGGGAAGGATTAGACTTCTTAAGGCTTCTTCAGTATGTTAAAGTGCTATATTGTGGGGGCATCGGTTTCTGAGCCCCAACAGCAGGAATCTAATTCTCAACTCTTTCTAGTAGTACTTTAGTTTAACATTAAAGCTGAGTCTACTGAGAGTCCTGTGCAGTACAATAAAATCTGGTTGTGTCAATAGAACCAGAAAATTCTTGCTTTTGAGAGCTTGACTCTGACATCCATTGCCAGGTAGTACAAACACCTCTTCCTTCTGGACACTGAAATGGCAAAGCATTAGGTGTTACTGCCAGCTCCCAAACCACTTTGTAGGGATGAAAATAATTTTCTTTCTATTCCCCAAAGGTTTGAGAATATGCATGTATAAACAAACTGACAAGACGAATTGGAGGAAAAAAACCATACAAATTTACTAATGCACAAGTGCAGATAGTCATGCAAAATATCAAACTCAAAGAAGGGCCAGATAATGGAAGCTTGAATATCCTTCTTATAGTATAGAGGGAAGTGAAGGGATGTAGGAAAATTTAGAGGGAAATAAATTATTTTTAGGGGAGATGAATGGGCCTGAAGACCAGATAATAGCCGGAGACTCAGCTCCTCTGGGCTCTGGATGAGTTATGCAAAAATGAGGGGTAGAACTACTTTGTGGACAAAGATTGTTGTACTATGCAGATAAAGTCCAGAGAGATGAAAAGTCTGCCTGGGCTGCTGTGGTGATGATCTTTAATTTCTTCTTTGCTGATGAATCTTCCCTGGTGAATGAGATTTCAGACAGAGGATTAAAGGCAGTTGTGTTTCTTTTTTTCTTTCTTTTTTTTTTGGAGTTGGAGTTGGAGTTTCACTCTGTGTTGGGAGCTGGCCACGGAGGCCCACTGAGTGTTAGGGATCAGGAAGGGCCATTGACCCCGAGACCACTAGGATGTGTTCAGGAGCTATTGACCCCATTTCCTCCCCCTTTCTACTCAGCACTAACCAGATTAAGCTCCTGTGAGCTCAAAACATAAAAGCTCTGAGACCGGGATGAACACAAGCTAACTTTAGAAGCTCATTGCTCCTCCACAAACTGCAGTTTTGGCTTTCACACAACTTACAATTCAAACTCGGGTCACATCTAAGAGACTTAGCATTGGTCACAGGCTTCTGGGTCATGATCTTAGGATTTACTGAAGTTGAATAAGGTGTAAATTGAAGAATATAGTTTTAGAAGACAGCCATTTTGTTGAAAGAATGTGGCTGGGTTACTTGCAGGTAGCCCACTGTGAACTTTGGACTGGGCCACATTCCAAACATTCTGGGATGGGCCACTTTAGTTTGTAAAGTAAGTACTTAAGCCTCTATAGAATTGTTTAACTTGGTATTAGTATGAAAAGGGTTTATAGGCAATATGAAAAGGGTTTATAGGCAGTACAAAAAGGGTTTAAAGGCAGTCATGGATTAAGGTTTCATGGATTAGGTTTAACATCTGTTATGGGATTATACCTGAAAGAACATCTGGTGGGTGGGGAATGCCCCTCACATACCTGACTGTGCATAAAAGACCCATTGTAATTTCAAATAAATGACTTCTGCACTAGACAGGGGTTCAGTCTCTTTCTTTCTCTCTCTCATTCTCTTTCTCTCTCTTTCTTCTTCCCCCAATCGCCGACACCATTTCCACCTTTGAGTTACCCTGAATCCGGCTGGAGCTGGACTCCCGCAACCCTGTCCCCCAGATTGGAGGGCAGTGGCACATTCATGGCCACCGCAGACTTGACCTGCTGGGCTCAGGTGATCCTTCCACCTCAGCCTTCCAAGTAGCTGGAACTGCAGTAATGCACTACCATGCCCAGCTAATTTTTTTGATTTATTGTAGAGATGAGGTCTCGCCAAGTTGCCCAGGCTGGTTTTGAACCCTTGGGCTCAGGCAATTCTCTCACCTAGGCCTCCCAAAGTGCTGGGATTATAGGCATGAGCCACCTCGCCCTGGCCAGTTGTGTTTCTTTTGGAAGAATTTACCTCAGTCAGATAAAGGAATTTTAGAGAGAGTCACTACTTGTGCTGGGGACAGAAAAAAGAAACAAGGAAAAGTCAGAGAGACCTTAATGCTGAGGTAGCTTCTAAGTCCTTCCAATTAAAGGGAAAAAATTCCTTTAATTCAAAGTGCTCAGCATGTCAAAAATCATACTTTGGGGTATTATTTTCTGAGCTCTAACATCTGTTTGCATCAAGGTATGATGCTCAGGTCTCTTACAAGCTACCTGGAATAGAAATTGCCTTTTAAACAATATGTAGGGTCTGGGTGTTGTGACTCATTCCTGTAATTCTAGCACTTTAGGAAACCAAGGCAGGGGGATTGCCTGATCCCAGGCATTTGAGACCAGACCTCATCTCTACAAAAAAAAAAAAAAAAAGCTATCTGGGCAACGTGGTGCATACCCGTAGTGCTAGTTATTCTGAAGGCTGGGGTGGAAGGATTGCTTGAGCCCAGCAGGCCAAGGTTGCAGTGAGCCATGATTGTGCCAATGCACTTCAGCCTGGGTGACAGATTGAGACTTTGGCTAAAAAATAATAATAAATAAAAATATTTAGGTTTATAGTTTTTCTGGGTGCTCACTCTAACTACCAGATTGATCTTCAGATATTAGGGTGTGGGGTGTTATTTTACATAGAAACATGAATTTATTTTATACAGAAATATAAATTTATTAAGGGCCTTTACATACTTATTTCATATGTTGAAATGCTTTTTTTTTTTTTTTTTAGAGGCAGCATCTCACTCTGTTACCCAGGCTAGAGTGCAGTGACACTATCATAGCTCACTGCAGCATCGAACTCTTTGCTTCAAGTGACCCTCCTGCCTCAGCCTCCTGAGTAGCTGGGACTACAGGTACATGCCACCACGCCCAGCTTATTTTTTAAAACTTTTTGGAGGGATGAAGTCTGGCTATGTTGAGCAGGCTAGTCTTGACCTTCTGGCCTCAAGCGATCCTCCCAACTTGGCCTCCCACAGCACTGGGATTATAGGCATGAGCCACCACACTCAGCCAAAATAATTACTTACCAAAGACTATATTTGCAATAAAATTTCCTTAAAAAAGAAACAGCTAGCTGTGTGCAGTGACTCACACCTGTAATCTCAACATTTTGGGAATCTGAGGTGAGAGGATTGCTGGAGCCCAGAAGTTTGAGACCAGCCTGGGTAACATGGCAAGACTGTGTCTCTACAATTAAAAAAAAAGAAAAGAAAAGAAATTAGCCGGGCATGGTAGCACACACCTGTAGTTCCAGCTACTTGGAAGTCTGAGGAGGAAGGATCACCTGAGCCCAGAAGGTTGAGTCTGTGGTAGCTGTGAGCATGCCACTGCACTCCAGCCTGGGTGACAGAGTAACTTGACTCCAAAAAAAAAGAAAGAAAAGAAAAGTAAAAAAGAAAGAAACTGCCCATGTTCATTTAAAAGGTTTTATTTGGGTCAGGTACGGTGGCTCAAGCCTGTAACCCCAGCACTTTGGGAGGCTGAGGTGAGGGGATTGCCTGAGCCCACAGGTTTGAGAACAGCCTGGGCAACTTGGCGAGACCTCATCTCTACAATAAATCAAAAAATTAGCCGGGCATGGTAGCGCATGCCTATAGTTCCACTACTTGGAAGGCTGAGGTGGAAGGATTGCTGACACCCAGTAGGTTGATACTGGGATGGCGGTGAGCAGGCCACTGCACTCCTGCCTGGGAGACGGAGTGAGACTCCAACTAGGGAAAAAAAAATTTAAATTAAATATTTTATTTACCTGAGTTTTAATCGTTTTGAATTATCTGATATAAAGGCAGTATCTCTGAAGGGGAGGTATGTGTTTAATACCCTGGATTATTCTTTAGGTGTATTTTCAAGTCAGTTTGAAAAACTGTGACAATGACACTCAGTTGATAAGTAGATCTTAATACGACATGTGTTGATATCATGCTATCTATGCCACTGAAAAGTCATTTGATCCATGCCTACATTCCTCCACTGCTCCTCTAATTTCTTTTTTTTTTTTTAGTTGAGTCTCACTCTGTTGCCCTAGCTGGAGTATGAGTGGCATGATCATGGCTCATCACAGCCTCAAACTCCTAGACTCAAGCAATCCTCCCTCCTCAGCCTCCCAAGTAGCTAGGACTATAGGCATACGCTACCACACCTGGCTAGCTCCTCTAATTTTTTATCAACTTGTTGTCTTAGTTTGGCCAATATGCATAAATTGGGATGGGGACAATGTTGATCACAAGCATCTAGTCTTTTTCTGTTATGAGAGGAGACATTTAAATTCATGTTAAAGAGAGCAGAGATGTACTCTTGTTCTTGTTTACAGCTGCTCTGGGGAAAATCCATGATCTCACCTTGATTGGAAATGGGTGTTCCTCCTCCAAATGTCTGCCACACCTCTGACTGAGCTCCTGAAAGATCTTTAAACATTTCCAAGAGAATTATGGTGCATGCCACACAGCATCACCTCCCAAGTCAGATAGTCTTTATTTAGCCAGGATTAAGATGGATAAGAAATAACTTGGACTTTCAAAAATGACTGTAAACCAAGGACAGTGGCTCACGCCTGTAATTCCACTGCTTTGTGAGGATGAGGTGGAAGGATCACTTGAGACCAGGAATTTGAGACCAGCCTGGGCAACATAGTGAGATTTCATCTAAAAAAAAAATAATTAGCTAGGCATGGTGGCACATACCTGTAGTCTTAGTTACTTGAGAGGCTGAGGCAAGAGAATTAATTGAGCCCAGGAGATTGAGACTGCAGTGAGCTATGATCGCTCCACTGCCCTCCAGCCTGGGCAACAGAGCAAGACTCTGTCTCAAAAACAAAAAACAAGCAAACAAACTGTGGCACACTAGAGATCAGTAGGGCAAATCTTGCCATTAGATACGTGTTACCTGGCCTACGTGATTTTAAAATCACGACTTTTTATATACAAATCAGGATTTCTGGTCTCTCAGGAAAATCAACCCATATGACAATGCAAGGTTCATATTCCCGCATGTCATCAAGGGGCAGGGCTGAGTCCCAGTTTCCCCCTTTGATGGAGCGAGTGAACCTCACTTTACTGAAGGCCCTCAATCCCACCGTTCCTTATTCCTCCACTAGGCCTACACTTACCTGTCTCATGAGGAATTTGAATAAATGGCTTCTTTAAAATGCTATTTGTCGATTTAAGTATCTATCTTACATATTTAGATAATAGTTCTTCTGGCACTCATTTCACGTAAGTTAGATTATTGGATTTGTATATAGTTTTACCTTATAAAATCTACTTTGTGACTGGCAATACTCTCCTAGGATGCTATGTTAAGATCTTACTGTGATAAATATTCCATTATATACAAATTCATTTCTCTTCCAAGTCATTTCCTTGTCTGACTGACATATTAGTTACTCTCTCCTGGATAGATATCCTAGAGGAGGTATCAATATATTGTGAAAATCAATCTGTAGTAAATTTTCATTTAGGTTTTGTTTGACTGTTTGTTTTTTTAGGTTTCCTTGTTGATTTACTTCTTTGAATTTTAGATTCTCCAGCAGTTTCTGACCTCCGGCAAAGGTGGATAATTGGAATTCTGATATGCTAATAAGATAAAGGCTTTATTAGAATTCATCTGAGAAACCCACTAACACAGCTGTTCCAGGCAGGGCCCTCATCATTAACAGTGAGGGAAAGTAAGAGAACTGGGTTCTCTTCCTGGTGCAGCTGGGTGCTCATTTCATTTGTTTCCTCTTTTCCCTTCCTGACTTCCCAAATTCTAGCTTTACAAATGACTTTCTTCTTTTCTGAACTAAAGGAAGAGACTGGAAGATTCTTTCTACTTCCATATCCAGGAACTAAAGCTCTCCATAATTATCCTTAAACATCCCCTTCCATTCTTTTTCCAGATTTGGCAAATGTCCACATTTATAATATGCTTATATTCCCTATAGCTACTATACATTTGATCACTTCCAACATAAAATATTGGGATATCGCCCGAATTCCTGCCACAAGGATAGCCACAGAGAAGACAGGTTATAAATCAAGGACTTTCCTGGTCTGTATAAAACATTACTTCAAACTCCTGGAATTTTCACACCTGAAATCCCTGTAAGTGAGGGCAGCCCTAGAGACTGATAATAAATCCTCACTGCACAGTGGGATAGACCCCACAAAACAGGTATGAACAGAATGTGGTGAGAACAAAAGGGAAAGAATACATTATTCTTCAGGGTTGCCAAGAGAAACTTGGGAGAAGGAAACAAGGTCTTAAAGGATGACTAACAGTTTTGTCAAGCAGATGAAAGGAAGTGGGTACTCCAGGCACAGGAAAGAGCATGTGTCAAAGTCCCAAGTCTTGACAGGCAGATGGCCTGATGAGGAAACAGGGGGAAGGCTAGTATAGCTAAAGTGGAAAGTAAATAGTGCATTTTTAAAGTAGGGCCTTTGCAATAATCCATTGGAGTAAAAAATGCAGCCTAAACTCAGGTGTTGGCAGAAGGGACGGAGAAAGGGGCTCAAGTTGGGATACAGGTGGGAGCTGAAGCATCGGCAAGAGTCAAGGGTAACTCTGAAGTCTCTGTCTTGGGAGAATTGCTGCATGCTAGCAACATCATGAGAAGAAGAAAACCCAGAAGGCAGCAGACCTGGGGCCGACCAATAGGAATTAATCAACAGTAAGTCTGTTGAATGACTTCTTTGGCTAAGTCCAAATGAATGCTCATCTTTTTCTGATGTGACTACCTTCTCTTCCTTGAAATTCTCATTTCTCTGTTTCTAGGATATCACTCTTCTAAATTTCCTCTGACCTATCTGGTCCTTCCTGCTCAGGCATGCAGAGAAAAAGGAGCACTGTAAAGAGGCTATCTGGTTGGACCACTTTTCCTATCTCTCTTTTCTCTTTTTTGTAATTTTGTACCTCACAGCACTTCAATTACTAGCTATGGACTGGTGATTTCCAATTCCAAGGTGCAACCTTACATCTCTCTCATGGGTCCAGAACTTTTTGTGCAACTGCCTACTGAACATTTCCTCCTGGGTGTCCTGTGGTTTCCTCAAACTGAGCATCCAAAATTGGCACTCATCTTCCCTAGCCATTACCTACTTCTCCTCATGTATGCTTCATCTCAGCCAATGACCCCTCCATCCATCTGGTTACCCAGATTCCTCTGGATCCTAGGTTCCATGAGTGCGGGACCATTTCAGTCTTGGTTGTCACTAGTGCAGTAAGTGGCACCTATACAGCAGACACTCAAATATTGGTACAATAAATGAAGAAGCTAGAATGACCCTAAGGTTTCTGGCTTTTGTCAACCCTCAAGAAATAAGTCATCCTTCACTCTTCTCCCATTCCAACGTAGCTTGAATTAAGCACACTAGGCATGTTTGTTTCAGAAAGCCTTCCCTGTCCACCACCCCACCTCTCTCCCAGTCTCATAATTCCCTGAACATAGTATATAGCTTCCATGTCAGTTTCACCCACCAGCTTCTTGAAGGAAGAAGCAGGTATCTTTTTAAGATTCTGGTACCTACTTCTTTGGTGGAAGGAAGGGAGGAAGGAAGGACAGACTGAAATATTCTGAGATCCAGATATTCTGAGTGCTGTGGCAGAGAGGGGCATGAATGGTAATAACCTGGGGGTGATTTCTCTTACCCTGGAAGACTAAATTCTATTATGCCTATGGGGCAGGAAAGGAAGGTAGTCTTGGTAGACACCAAGAAATAGTTTTGGTAGATACCAAAAAATAGTGGAAATTGCAGTAAACTAGAGAAAATACACTCTGCCCAAAGGTAACAAGGTAATATTGCTATGCAGAGGCTGGACATGGTGGCTTACACCTGTAATTCTAGCACTTTGGGAGGCTGAGGAGGCAGGATCACTTGAGTCCAAGAGTTCAAGACCAGCCTGGGCAACATAGTGAGATCTTGTTTCTATAAAAATTCAACAACAACAACAACAAAAAGCTGGGCATAATGGTGCATGTCTGCAGTACTTGGGAGGCTGAGGTGGATCAAGTGAGCCCAGGAGGTTGAGGTTTTAGTGAATCATGATCATGCCACTGCACTCCAACCAGATTGAGACTCCAACTCAAAAAATAGTAATTGTTATGCAGAAATGTTGACCCCATGTGGCCAGATATTCTGATTTTTAATTTTTTCCCCAAAGAAGTCAGAATCAATATCTTGGGACGAGAGATCTCCTATTTTAAATGTTGATCAAGCCAAACTTTAGGCTAGATTTAGGCCTTGGTTTGACAACTTGTTATTTCTGGTACAAAACATTGAGAGATATTGACTTATAAAACAATAAAAATGCTAATATATTGAATGTGGGGAGAAAACGGGGGCCATGATTTAAAATGAGACAGTCACAGAGCAAATGGAGAAATATACCTACAAGAACATAACACTCATCAGACAGTTGCTGAGTTAATTTAGTGAAACACATTTGAGGAAAGAGAGAAAAATGCATACAGGGAGCTGTTGGATCCTTGATTTGATTTCGGAGCAGAAGTGAGCTGTGTAGGAAAGAAGTCCAATAATAAAAAAATGAAGGATTTCTTCAATAGTGGTGGATAATTTTTTAGGTACTTGTACATTCTCAGCTATAAACACTGCTGCAGAAGAAGCTAACATAGAATATGAATATGTATCCAAGTCAAATGTTCACCTCAAGCATAAATTGCAAGGTTGGGCACGGTGGCTCAAGTCTTTAATTCCAGCACTTTGGGAGACTGAGGTGAAAGAATTGTCCGAGTCCCAGGGTTCAAGACCAGCCTGGGCAACTTGGTGAGACCACATCTCTACAATAAATCAAAAAATTAGCCAGGTCTGGTGGCACACACCTGTAGTTTCAGCTACTTGGAAGGCTGAGGCAGAAGGATCACCTGAGTCCAGCAGATCGAGGCTGTGGTGGCTGTGAGTGTGCCACTGCACTACAGACTAGGCCACAGAGTAAGATTCTGACTCAAAAAAAAAAAGAATTAATTGCAGAATTTGGGTAGCTGATTTTAATTAATCATCAGACTATATTGGTAATTATGTTAAAAGTACTTTTTCACTGTGAGCACTCTAAAACATCATACAAACTTACTACTTCATTAAATCCTGATACAACCCTGTGAAGTGGACTATTTTTAGTCCCATTTTTGCCAACTAACAAATTAAGATTTGAAAAGTCTCTTTCACTCACTTTACAAATATTTAATTTAATATGCTGGGCATACATAGTAGTGAACAAAGCAGACAAAAATCCCTGCCTTGACTAGTTCAAATTCCAGGTGAAGGCCAGGCAGGTGGTTTATGTCTATAATCCCAGCACATTGGGAGGCTGAGGTAGGAGGATTGCTTGAGCCCAGGAGTTTGAGACCAGCCTAAGCAAAAAAAAAAAAAAAAAAAAAAATTAGCTAGGTGTGACGGCCGGTACCTATAGTCTCAGTTACTCAAGAGGCTGAAGCAGAAGGATCATCTGAGCCCAGGAGGTTGAGATTGCAGTGAGTTATGCTTGTACCTCTGCATTCCAGCCTGGATGACAGAGTGAGACAAAAACAAAAACCAATCAACCCACCAAACAAACAAAAATCCAGGTGAAACCAAGTAGACACATATACAGTAAGTAGCTTTCCTTTGGGATGCAGCACAGTTTTTGAGTCCAGGCCTTCTACTGAACTTCAGCTACAAACCTAAATAAGTTGATGCTCTTTAATAATAATAATCGCTTTGAGTCAGCAGAGTGCAGACTTATGACCCCGTGGACGGAAGATCTCAGGGCAGCCGGGCAGCCACTGGGCTACTCCTCAGTCATGTGACCTGCAGTTCTCTGTCCTGCTCTGTGATGGTGAAGAGGAAATATCTGCTCTGTGCATAGAGGAGCTGCTGTGAAAATACACAATAAAGGCAGAAATGCTTACAGAATCATATGCACAGGTTTGCGTAATGCTTGACACATATATGGATGGTTTTCAAGTAAAATATAAATATAGTGTTATTTTGAGAAATAATGACTCCCTCAGCAATGGGGAAATTTCCAACAATCTCAGACAACTTGCAACCGTGTTTTGGGTGACTGAGTTATCTTTAAGTTTGTTGCTTCAAGGGAAGTGTTATTTAGCTGCCCTTAGAAACATTTAGTTACAGCCAGCAGCAGAGGGGCCCAGACAGATAGACCCAGACACAGTAAGAGCTACTGAGAAGAGATGACATCATCCAGGGAGGAAGTAAGTGAGCATGCTCTCATTCATTCATTGAACAAATATTTACTGGTTGTCTACTATTTCAGTTTTGTTCATTGCTGTATTCTCAGTGCTCAGAACAAACCCACTGCCCCAAAAATGTCTATGTTCTTTTTTCTTTCTTTTTTTTTTTTTTTTTGTGGCATATTTTACTCTGTTGCCCAGGCTCAAGTGCAGTGGGATGATCATGGCTCACTGCAGCTTTCAACTCCTGGGTTCAAGTGATCCTCTTGCACCAGCCTCCCAAGTAGCTGTGACTACAGGCATGTGCCACCACTCTCCCGCACCCCCGGTGAATTTTTTGATTTTTTTGTAGAGATGAGGTCTGGCCACATTGCCCAATTTGGTCTCAAACTCCTGGGCTTAAGCTATCCTTCAGCCTCTGCTTCCCAATGTACTGAGGTAACAGGCGTGAGCCATTGCACCCAGCTCAGGTCTATGTTCTAATAGAGGAAGACAGTTAATGTATAGATATGTTTGTCACAGACGGTAAGTGCTCCAAAGAAAAGTGGGACTGAGTGATGGATGGAGATTGTGTTAGGATAACTAATGCTGCCTCAACAAACAAAACATGCAATTTCAGGGGCTGTGCCCAACATAAGATTTTTCACAAAACCTGATTGGGTTTGGTGACTCAGGGACCCAGGCTCCCTCCTCTTACTTCCAGGCTCTCCAAGACAGGAAAAAAAAGGAGGAATGGAGGAGACACACTGATTCTGACTGAATGAAGTGAAGGCGTGGCATGGTAGATCTCTGGGGGAAAAGGACTCCAGGGAGAGAGAACAGCAAAGGTAAAAACCTGAGGCAGAAACATGCTGGGCTTTTTCCAGAATTAGCAAAGAAACCACTGCGGCTTCTCTCCATGGAAGAGAGGGTTGGAGAAACAGCCAAGGGCCAGGCCACCTAAGACTTCTCTGGCTAACGGAGAAAGTGAGAAAATGCAGTTGTCTGGAGCGATTTAGTGTACCCTAAAAGACTTCACAGAAGCATTATGGATGGTTATAATGACTATATAAACTAAATTATAAATAATATGGGGGTATGCTCCATTAAAAAAATAGAAATCTTTAGAAAATGTGTTGCTGTATCTATTTTCCTGAGTGAGTGGCTATAAGTTTTTAATACTTGAGCACATTTTCTACATACCCAAGACCCTTTGGAGGTAGGGGTTTCCTGCCACTAGAGGCCACAGGGCCAAGCATCATGAGAGCCTGTCCCTGTCTTTTTAGAAGCCCAATGCCTGGCAAGCACAAAGGCCTCCCACTGGACTCCTGAAAACTGAGCATCTGCAGATGCCCATTACCTGTGCTACAAACAGCCTCTGACATCCAGTAGTTCCTCAGGCTCTGCTTCTGCTCAACTAATCTGTAAAAGCCATCACCTTACACTCCTGGAATTTTCATACCTGAAATAAGCCTGAAGTTACTGTAATTAACTATTTTAATTTTTTTTAGAGACAGGGTCTTTCTCCATCACCCATACTAGAGTGCAGTGGCACAATCATAGCTCACTGCAGCCTTGAACTCCTGGACTCAAGAAGTCCTGCCTCAGTTTCCTGAATAGCTGGGACTACAGGCTCATGTCACACATGCTCAGCTAAATTTTATTTTTATTTTTTGAGATGAGATCTTTCTGTGTTGCTCAGCCTGGTCTTGAACTCCTGGACCCAAGCAATCCTCTTGCTTCAGCCTCTAAGAGTGCTAGGATTACAAGCATGAGCCACCATGCCCAGCCTCAGCTGTTTTTTTATCTTTTGTAGAAACAAGATCTCACTATGTTGCTCAGTTTGTTCTCAAACTACTGACCTCAAGCAATCCTCTAACCTTAGCCTCCCAAAGTGCTGGGATTATAGGCGTGAGCTGCTGTGTTCAGCCTATAATTAACTCTTTAATCTAAAAAGTAACTACCAAATGAACAGAAAAGCTGAAACTAAATGTATTTATCTTAAATATTCTAGGTTAGTTTTTCATGAAATGAGTAAAATAAATTGTATTCTAGATGTTGATGTTGACTTCATGTTTCTGACCACATAAAATACTGGTAGTGAAATCCAATGACCTCTGCTTACTATGAGAATAGTTATAACCCAGAATTTTCAGCTAAAAATGTTATAATTTAGAATTTGCTAACTGAATTGAATTTAGATTTTGCATTAGGATAAACACTGGGAGTAATTCTGGTATACAGTGTTGGTTGTTTTGTGCAGGATGCACAATCCTTATAATAATTGTATACTCTGCTGGCCTGTTTCCCAGATTTGCTTGAAAAGGGTCAGAGGACAGGCTGAAATGAATAACATATGAATGCCCAACCTCAATTAGAAGTGTCTTCAAAGGAATAATTAGGCTAGACTTAATAAGAAAGGATTATAAGAAGAAAAAGCTTTGGGCAAATTATACACTGAGGGAAAAGAAAGATCCCGAAACAAAGGGCAACTATAGGAGACTGGAGTTGACTAATATTTCACGAAATGAATTTTGATCTAGTTATCTTAAAAATAACATACATATAGTGAGACATAGTGATGACTGAGAGGGATGGTCACTGACCTCAGGCTAGAAGTAGGAGTGTGAACATCGGGATCTTCCTGGCTCATGCACCCTGCAGTTGGGATTTTAGGACCCCTATCCTCTTTGAAAGAGGCCAGGGATTCTGCTTTCCCAAACAATAGCAGTGGCAGCAAACACTTCAACTGTGCTTACCTTTACAGTGCCTGCCATATATTGTTTCCTTTTCTCCATGTAAAATAGGGATTATATCATTTTTGAATCGCCACCACAACTTCAGGAGGTAGGTATGATATAAGAAACTTGCTCAAAGTCATACAGCTAATTAGTGTCAGAACACACAGTGGAGCCCAGAAGCCTGGCTTGGAAGTCTGAGCTCTTATTCCCTACATGCATCTTAGGGAGAAGACACCTGCAAAATGCTAACTTTCTGTGCACACTGATTTTTTTTGGGGGGGGGGGTTAGAGTTCACTCTTGTCGCCTAGGCCGGAGTGCAGTGGCACACTCAGGGCCACCGCAGCCTCGACCTTCCAAGTAGCTGGAACTACAGACACATGCCACCACGCCCGGCTAGTTTTTGTGATTTACTGTAGAGACGAGTTCTCACCAAGTTGCCCAGGTTGGTCTCGAGCCCCCGGACTCAGTCAATCCTCTTGCCTCGGCCTCCCAAAGTGCTGGGATTACAGGCTCAGTCACCACGCCCGGCCTTGCACGCTGATTTTATTGGAAGCTCTCCAGCTCCTCCCTCCCTACACCACCACCCTTTGCCTTTTATTTTGTCAAACACAGCACCTTACCTAGCCCTTATTTTGTTCTTGTCGTCTCCTATCCTCCTTGCCAAAAAACTCCGGAGCCCAGAAGAGGCAAAGGACCTGCTCCGCCAGTACCCGCCAACCTCCTCGCCCCACTGGCACCTGACTTTTTTTAGTGCAGTCGCTAATATGCACTGCAAACTCCTTGATGACACGCGCGGGTCACGCCATTCTAGGAGCATTCACTGAGCGCTCAGAGCGGACTGTCTCTCGGGCAGGCAAATACTGACTTTCCAGGAGACGTTTTTTAACCGAAAAGCCTCAGAAACGCTCGGGCCGTTCCCTTCCGCGGAGAACCCTCCTCCTCCACGCGCCTCGCTCGCCCCGGCGCCCCCGCTAGCGTCACCAGCCGCGAGGGGGCAGTGGCAGCCGCGGAGTCCGGCC